CAATAGCCTTTAAAATGACTTAAAATACATATATAATAGCAATGAGGCAATAATTAGTTTAAATAAAGTATCAAAAGCAAGAAATCATATGGTTTTGAACAAAACTGTTAAAATATATAAGGTATTATAAACAATAGAGCTAATGTACATTACATATTACAACAAAGGCCTGCAGAGGGCGCCAACAGACTGATGATTGTTTTTACACATTGCTGTGCGATCTAATCCTTGTTTAATGATGCGCCACTTCCGGTATTTTGCTGGTTAGTCGACGCGAGCAAATCGAATAGTCGAAAAAAAAAATAGACGAATCGCGACAGCCCTACTATATATAATTAAATTCAGTTGATTCCTTTGCAGAGTCATATTTTCTTTCTGCTGCCTTCTTAAATGTTCAAACTCTGAGTTGACGGAGAACGTTTATCGAGCTTTGTGAGCCTGATCTAAACCAGGTTGGCTTTATCGGGTTTTGTCAACTCAAAACTTGCTCTGCAACTCTGAGTTTGTTCATCTCGCTTTGTGCTACAGGCCACAGGCTTAGAAAACACTGCTTTGAAGTACTGTAGCACTGTGCACGTGAATACACTCTTGATTTTAAGAGCCCATCCACACGGAGGCGCATTTAGCTGTATACGCATACATTTTGTATCGTATAGGCGTTTCGTCCAGACGGATCCGGCGTTGTGGGAGAGTGAAACCGATATTTTTTTAAACCGGGTCCCAGAGTGGATAAATCTGAAAACGCCAGCTTTGCGTTTTCGTGTGGACAGCCAATCCGAATATTTTCTGAAACGATGACATCATCAGACATCGTCTCACCCCTAGGCAGACACCGCTACGTCACGTAGCAGGAAATTTTCCCACCGGTTAATCGATGTGTGACAACACCGGTAATAATCACCGTTGGGGTGGGAGGGGGCTGTTAGTTCGTTTGAGTTTCCCTCTTTTCTTGGCTTTCAAATGGCGTGTAAAAGTGCCGTGCGCATTTTACTTTCACTTTCGAATTAGCGGCAATTGAATTGCCGCAATTCGGCGTCAAGCAATTGTTCGTTTGAGTTTTCCCTCTTTTCCTTGGTTTTCTTGGCTTTCAAATAGCTTGAAAAAGTGCCGTGCGCATTTTACTTTCAAATTAGCGGCAATTCGGCTTTGATTCAATTCAAGCAACAACGTCAAACTCAAAACAAAAACGAATATTTTATTAACAAAACGAATAAAAATACACCATATATGCCTAATAAAATAAATTACTTGGGCTACACAATTTAAATGGGTATATACAACTGAAAATCAGCAAACACTGTGGAACCAAATAATTAAGAAACAGAACGTTTATTAGCAAAACTAATAAGAAAGCTTGGAGGCACGGCATATACACCTTGATGTAAAATAAAATACACAAAGTTTAAATAAAGTAATCCGCAAACACTGTGGAACCAAATAATTAAGAAACAGAACGTTTATTAGCAAAACTAATAAGAAAGCTTGGAGGCACGGCATATACACCTTGATGTAAAATAAAATACACAAAGTTTAAATAAAGTAATCCGCAAACACTGTGGAACCAAATAATTAAGAAACAGAACGTTTATTAGCAAAACTAATAAGAAAGCTTGGAGGCACGGCATATACACCTTGATGTAAAATAAAATACACAAAGTTTAAATAAAGTAATCCGCAAACACTGTGGAACCAAATAAATAAGAAACGAATGTTTAAGAAACCTTCCAGTCAATAGACTTTTCAAAATCTAAAATATTGCCAAACAGGTGCCTTTGCATTTCCTTTCTAAACAATCTTCTGCCATCGTCTTGTCTTTCTCACCTCACTCTTGTCAGTCAGCTCGACTCACTCTCCTCACGTGATAAATAAAATCTGACTCCTGCTCCGTGGTGCACTGTCGTTCGCGCACGGTTCGGCACGCTGCATTGAGCGTTTCATTTTTAAAAGTGTCTGTCCTCACTGAACTAGGCTAAATTATTTTTGTTTCTATAAAAAAATCAAAACGACGGTGGGGGGGCGGTGCCGCGGTAGGCAAATGACGTAACCGGTGTTGCGGCTTAAAAACACCGTCTATTGCAGCAAGCCTAGTGGACGCAGATATTTCTTGAGACGAGGGAAAAAAAGATTGGAAAGGGAAAGCTCTGGCTTCGTGTGGACGTAGCCTAAATGCTTAGAGATGAGAAAATGGATTTGGGCTTAGGAAGGATCTATCTGGTTAAATCAGTATAAATGTTTCACAATGGGGAAATTTTCACAGCGCAGTTGGCTACACTATAAAACAAGGCAGTTTGAAGTTTTTTTTTTTTTTTTTTTTTTTTTTTTTTTTTTTTTTTTTTTTTTTAAAAAAGGGGGG